TAGTGGTAGTAATAGTAGTAGATGTTGTAGTCGTAGTTGTAGTGGTAGTAGGTTTCTCATTTCTAGAATTAGTGTCCGGAGCTAGTAGTAGTAGGGGTAGTAGTAGTAGAAGTAGTAGTAGTAGTAGTAGTAGTAGTAGTAATAGTAGTAGTAGTAGTAGTAGTAGTAGTACTAGTAGTAGTAGTCGTAGTAGTGGTTAGTAGTAGTAGTAGTAGTAGTAGTAGTTAGTAGTAGTATAGTGATCGTAGTAGTTGTAGTAGTAGTAGTAGTAGTAGTAGTAGTAGTAGTTAGTAGTAGTAGTAGTAGTAGTAGTAGTAGTAGTAGTAGTAGTAGTAGTAGTAGTAGTAGTACTACTAGTAGTAGTAGTAGTAGTAGCAGTAGTAGTAGCAATAATAGTAGTCGAGGACATCGTCGTAGTAGTAGTTGTTGTAGTAGTAGTAGTAGTAGAAGAAGAAGTAGTAGTAGGCGTTGTAGTAGTAGTAGTAGTAGTAGTAGTAGTAGTAGTCGTAGTAGTAGTATTAATAGTCGTAGTAGTAGTAGTAGTAGTAGTAGTAGTAGTAGTAGTTGTAGTTGTAGTAGTATAGCAGTTAGTATAGTAGTAGCAGCAGCAGTAGTAGTAGTAGTAGTAGTAGTAGTAGTAGTAGTAGCCGTCGTACTAGTCGTAATCGTAATAGTAGTAGTAGTAGTATTAGTAGTAGTAGTAGTAGCAGTAGCAGTAGCAGTAGCAGTAGTAGTAGTAGTAGTAGCAGCAGCAGCAGTAGTAGTAGTAGTAGTAGTAGTAGTAGTAGTAGTAGTAGTAGTAGTAGTAGTAGTAGTAGTAGTAGTAGTAGTAGTCGCATTATTATTAGTAGTAGTAGTAGTATTATTATTACTAGTAGTAGTAGTAGTGGTAGTAGTACTAGTAGTAGTAGTAGTAGTAGTAGGAGTACTAGTAGTAGTAGTCGTAGTAGTAGTAGTAGTAGTAGTAGTCGAAATCGTAGTTGGAGTAGTAGTAGTGGTGGTAGTCATAGTAGTAGTAGTAGTAGTAGTAGTAGTAGTAGTAGTAGTAGTAGTAGTAGTAGTAGTAGTAGTAGTCGTAGTAGTGGTAGCAGTAGTAGTAATAGTAGTAATAGTAGTAGTATTAGTAGCAGCAGTAGTAGTAGTAGTAGTAGTAGTAGTAGTAGTAGTAGTAGGCGTAGTCGTAGTAGTAGTAGTAGTAGTAGTAGTAGTAGTAGTAGTAGTAGTAGTAGTAATAGATTTCGCAGCAGCAGTAATGTAGCTTGGCAGTCATCGTGGGTGGTTCTTGCTGTTGGCTGTCTGCAGTGCTTGTGAAAACCCAGCGGGGATGCGGAGGAGGAGGAGGAACAGGAGGAGGATTAGAACAAGCAGTCGAAGGTAGAAGCTCCAAAATCATTGGACAACATTTTTGCGTTCCATCCCTCCTGTGTTGAACGCAGCACCATGGTCTCCACCCCCTCTCCCGCCTCCCTTCTCCTCCCTGCCTCCGTTCTGCTGCCGTCTGCGTCCTGCAGTATTCTCAATCCTGCTGTGTTTGGGTTCTCGTTTTGAATAGAACGCTGTGGTATCCACTCCTCCCCGCTCCTCCTGCCGCCTCCTGCGCTGCCCCTTCGGTGGCTGCGAACTGCGCAGCCGTCACCACTTTTGTGGGCTCCTGGGAGGTACAGTGGAGTCGGCGGGCACGCGCACCCAGACGGGACTTCGCAGCTCCCTTGGTGGCTGCGAACCCTCACCATTTTCGTGGCCCCCTGGGAGGTCCAGCGGGGTCGGGGGGCACGCGCACCCAGACCAGACCTCGCTGCTCCCTGGGAGGCTGCGACTTGCTCAACAGTCGCCACGTTCGTGGACTCCTGGGAGGTTGGCGGAGTCGGGTGCCACGCGTGCCCAGACGAGACTTCGCTGCTCCCTTGGTGGCTGCGAGCTGCGCAACCGTCACCGGTTTCGGTGGCTCCTGGGAGCTTCAGCGGAGTCGGGGGCCACGCTCTTTCAGACGAGACCTTGCTGCTCCCCGGGTGGCTGCGAACTGCGCAGCTGTCACCACTTTCGTGGGCTCCTGAGAGGTCCAGCGGAGATGGGGGCCACGAGCGCCCAGACGAGACCTCGCCGCTCCCTGGGTGGTTACAGCATGCGCAACTGTCACCAGTTTCGTGGGCTCCTGGGAGGTCCAGCGGAGTCGGGGGCCACGCGCACCTAGACGAGACCTCGCTGCTCCCTTGGTGGCTGTGACCTTCGCAACCGTCGCCGCGTTCGTGGGCTCCTTGGAGGTCTTCCTCCTGCTCCTTCTTTTTTTGGACTCCCAGGAGCCTTGCCACCGAATGCACAATTCGCATTTGTGACGCGCAGGCCAACTAGTACAGCAAGGACGTGGAACGGTCGGTGTACGATTGGGGCTGCGTAGGCGTACTATGATGACGGCAGAATGCAAGGGGCGGGGCGTACGAGTACGGCTACGTAGGGCTACTAGTACTGCTGTGACGTGCAAGGCCGAACGTACGAGTAGTGC